TACGTGCCGATGCAAATGAGGCACACGTGCCAATGAGAATGAGGCACGCATGCCGATGAGAATGAGGCACGCGTACCGATGAGAATGAGGCACGCGTGCCGATGAGAATGAGGCACGCATGCCGATGAGAATGAGGCAGCCTGCCGATGAAAATGAGGCACACATGCCGATGAAAATGAGGCACGCATGCCGATGACAATGAGGCACACATGCCGATGCAAATGAGGCACGCATACCGATGACAATAAGGCACGCATGCCAATGACAAATGAGGCACGCATGCCGATACAAATGACGCACGCATACCGATGCAAATGAGGCACGCATGCCGATGCAAATGAGGCACGCATGCCGATGACAAATGAGGCACGCATACCGATGACAAATAAGGCACGTATGCCGATGTAAATGAGACACGCATGCCGATGCAAATGAGGCACGCATACCGATGCAAAAATAATACAAATGAGACACGCATGCCTCATAAGATGTAAAATAAAATAAATGAGGCACGCATGCCTCATAAAATGCAAAATGAAACAAATGAGACACGCATGCCTCATAAGATGCAAAATGATGCAAATGAGACACGCATGCCTCATAAGATGAAAAATGAAACAAATGAGACACGCATGCCTCATAAGATGCAAAATGATATAAATGAGACACGCATGCCTCATAAGATGCAAAATGAAACAAATGAGACACGCATGTCTCATTGGATGCAAAATGAAACAAATGAGACACGCATGCCTCATAAGATGCAAAATGAAACAAATGAGACACGCATGCCTCATAAGATGCCAAATGAAACAAATGAGACATGCATGCCTCATAAGATGCAAAATGAAACAAATGAGACACGCATGCCTCATAAGATGCAAAATGAAACAAATGAGACACGCATGCCTCATAAGATGCAAAATGATACAAATGAGACACGCATGCCTCATAAGATGCAAAATGAAACAAATGAGACGCGCATGCCTCATAGGAATGGAAAACGACATGAG